GGCTATTGCTACAAATATACCCCAGCGACTTAAGACTGGTTTTGTGGTCCAGGGTCACATATAACACATACACTACAGTTTACTAAGATTTTCTAATGTTTTTGAAAGAAGTGTTTTATTTATTTGATTAAAATACTGCAAAAGAGTAATAATGTCAAATATTATTACAGTTTAAAATAACTGTTTTCTATTTGAATATATTTAAAATGTAATTTATTCCTGTGATGATGATTATTCATGTGCGGTCTCATGATCCTTCAGAAATCACTCTAATATACTGATTTGCTGCTCAATAATTATTTCTTATTATTATCAAACCATTTTTAGATTCTTTGAAAAAATAATGTTTCTTTGATAAACAGAATTTTTTTTACTGTCACTGATCAATGTATCCTTGCTGATCAAAAGTACTGACCCAATCTTACTGACCCAAACTTTTAGTGTACAGTATATAGTACAGTTAACTTACTAACACTGTATACATACACATACAGTATTGTTACAATATGTACGTTAATAGGTTAATTGTGCCACATCTCTGAATTTAGATACACTGTAGTAAAAATAAATTCAGTTGAAAATATACACACACTTCTACACATTATTAATGATCTGCCCCACAAAAATATGATATCAATTATTATATTATATTATACCATTTTAATATTATATTAGTTTTAATACTACCTACATGTTATGCTAAAATCTCACACTACAATATATCAGCTATAAATCGCCTAATAGTCTCTAATTCTAGTCATTGTGTGATGGCAGACTGTAATGAGACACTTCAGTACACAGAGAACCTCCACCATGATCCCATATGTCATGTAAGAGATAACAGAAACCTCACCCAATCAATGTATCATGCAAAAGAACAGCACTTCACTGTGAATTATGCATTATCTTTGAAATCTCAAAGGTTTAGCATGATGCTGTATACATTCAAACTTTTATGTATACATAAAAGAAAAAGAGGGAAGCAAATACACATCCAAACAATGGCAATTAGCATATGTGTAATGTCTTTGCCTCAGCTTCCAGTGAATTCTTGACACATGAAATGCCAGGGGCCTTTAAAAGATAAATGATTGATAGAGACAGAATGAAGCATAATAGAAACAAGATGAATATGCACAAATGAATATCTGCTTGTGTTTGCCATTCTAAATGTAATGATTAATGATGGGTTTACCTAAAAAATGTGGAATGAACTTGCTACAGAGTGAACTGTAAATTGACCCCCTCCAATCATTGTTCTCAGTGTGGGTACAGAACCCCATAATAAAACCGAATCCCTAAACACATTGCATAAACGAATAAAATGTTTGTTAAAGAATTCAAGGGGAACTGCTCTTTCATGAGAAAATGTGATGAATCCAAACCTGATCTGGAGCTGTAGAGGAAATTTTTCAATTTTTATTTACTTTTTATTAATCAAAGAATCTTGAAAAAAAATATTTGTAGGTTTACATAAAATATCAAGCAGAACAGAATAATTTCTGAAGAATCATGCAACAGCTGAAGACTGGAGTAATGGCTGCTGAACATTCAGCTTTGCCATTACAGGAATAAATTACATTTTAAAACTGATTATAATGAGTGAGTGACGTGACATGTGGCCAAGTATGGTGACCCATACTCGGAATTAGTGCTCTGCATTTATCCCATCCAAAGTGCACACACACAGCAGTGAACATACACACACCGTGAACACACACCCGGAGCAGTGGGCAGCCATTTTTTGCTGCGGCGCCCGGGGAGCAGTTGGGGGTTCGGTGCCTTTCTCAAGGGCACCTCAGTCGTGGTATTGAAGGTGGGAGAGAGCGCTGTACATTCACTCCCCCCACCTACAATCCCTGCCGGTACGAGACTCGAACCCACAACCTTTGGGTTACGAGTCCGACTCTCTAACCATTAGGCCACGACTTCCCCAATGGAAAACTGTTATTTTAAATTGTAAAAATATTTCAGAATATTACTGTTTATACTGTATTTTTGATCAAATAAATGCAGCCTTGATGAGCATAAGAGACTTTTTTCGAAAACCTTTAAAAAAATCTTACAGACTCTGTTGAAAGGTTCTGTTGAATTTATAATCATAACCACTTAAAGTTTTTCTTTCTCTCTCTTCATCTTTGTAGATTTCTTGGGCAGGACAGAGATTCGGCTGGCCGACATCAAGAAGGACCAGGGCTCTAAGGGGCCCATCACCAAGCGACTGCTTTTACACGAAGTCCCTACGGGAGAGATTGTGGTGCGACTGGACCTTCAGCTCTTTGATGAACCCTGACCCACGTTGTTTGGCCTGACCTTTTGATCCCCAGAATCCAAATCTGCTACTCCTCCGTGGTGAAAGCCCACCAGCCCTCCACCCACCATCATGAATCCCAGAGTGTGAATGTGTGTATTTGCACAAGCGTTTGTGAGTCTGCAAAATGCTGTAACAGTCTTAATCAGTGATCCCGATTGGATTTTTATTGTCCTTGATACCTTTTGAAGACAAGTGTGTGAGTGAAAATGAAGGATGTACTGTAGAGGGAACCTTTCAGTTCCCTAATGATGTGAAGGATGTCTCAGGATGCTGTGTAAGTCTTAAAGAGTCAAACATACAGTAGTTGTATTTAACACTCTAATGACCCGGGAGCAGTAGTGCCATTTGTGTATTCTAGAATGAAAGTGCCATTCATTCTAGAATACACAGAATCATTCTAGAATGATTACACGTTCTAAATGATGTGCCATTCCAGTGAAATCCGTCATTATGGGTGAATCTCATGAAACCTTATTTGCATAATTCAAAAAATATATATAATTCGCATAACTGTAATGTGAAAAAATGCTGATATATTATTTAAATTGTTGCGTATTTATACATGTTGGTAATATTTGTTGTACTGCTTTTAATTTATGCAGGTTTACTTTTTTTAAAAATCGTAATTTAAAAAATTGTTCGATTACAGTAATGAGAATCATAAAATATAATGGTCCTGAAATAGGTCATATTTTAATGCAAAATACTAGTATTTTGGTGTGACCTGGACATGTTTTTGTGAGATTCACCCTAATAGTCTTACTGGATGTTCAGCATTTTATTCCATAATTTCAGTCATTAACACTAAAAACTAAAACCAGGTTTTGCTGGCAGACCTCACTAGTGTCAACCGACTCATTTATTTCTTTTCCGTTTTTACTGAAAGATATTTGGTGACCGTTCAACGACTGAATGTAGTCGAGATGTTTTTTTAGTTTTTTTTTGAGGGTTCATTAAACGCGAGCATGTTCAGGGAAATTTTCAGCAAGTCTCGAAAAGATACGGACACAAATGCTCCATGGAAAGACTATTATAATATAAACAAAATGAATTATGGGAGGGAAATTGTTATATTTGTTTTTCAGCGTTTTTTGTTATGTAGCTTTTATTTATTTTTATGTTATTGAGAATGGGACACATCTCAGAGGCCAATTGAAATATCATAGCTGAAGCATTTCCCAGCAAAATATAAAATCAAATAATTAATAAAAAAAAAAAAAACATATATTTGTCAGATGTCCCTAAAAGGCCCCCCAAAACAAATCGATGTTCTTCAGTTCCCCTGATGTTCTTAGTTTTATTGTGGTACATCACAAAGTAAACTATTTAATATATAGTACTATATTTAAGTTTGATACTGCATTACTAATAAGTTCACAGTTTGTTTTTGATTTATGTATGTTATGTTTTTGTTTGTTATTCTTGTGCTGTTGTTAGGCATTAGCGATCAACACTGTAGTTATGTCATATTTGTAAAAATAAGAGATGTCAGAGTTCATACTTTTTTGTTGTTTATTTGCAGAAAAATAGCAAGATGGTTTGTAGTGTTAAAGGTTTGGCAAGTTGCAGCATGTAGAAACGATGTTGAAACAATGAACCAGTGAGCAAAAGGGATCAAGCAAATGTCTTCAGTTCTTCAGATATGTCATAGAAAGAGCCCACTGTTTTTACATAGATGATGAAATATGTTGAATTTGTGTCGGTCTTATTAATTTGCCCTCAGTTATCACACTACTGAGCCTGAGAAAGGTGCCGTTTTCTTTTGGACTGTAGCGGGGGATGAGTTTCGTTAAAATTGTGTGTTTTCCTGTCTAGATGCAATATACACATTAATATTCCACTGCTGTGCTAGTGAGATGCCAGAGTGATCAAGGAAAACCGCTATTGTGGCGCCAGCAAGTTATTCCACTTGGTGTGTGTGTGTGTGTGTGTGTGTGTGTGTGTGTGAGAAAGAGTGATTCTTGGTGCTTTGAATGCTTTCTGCCGGGTCACTTTCCTCAAACCTCATCTCAAAGAATATTCCAGACAATGCAAGGGGTCGTGGTCACACCTCTTTTCTTTTTTCCGCTCTTTTGTCCCCTCTTCTCTTTCTCTCCTTCCCTCATCTCTTATCACGCACACTGTACATTTCAGACCAGAAGATTTGCCCATACCTTCATTAGTTTTTTAATGAGCAAAGCCCCATTGATTGAACAGTAATATATGTGTCTATGTTTAAAACTTTAAATGGAGTATAATATATTACAAACTGAGAAGTAAATATGTTGATGACAGCGTATTGTTATCAATGTAGAAGCAGTGTGTTGTCTTAATGTTGCAAATAAAACTCAATTGGACCAAGATGTAATGCAAAGTAGTATTTTTTCTTTGCAAGCAGTTTCCTCAATTAATTATGCTGTCAAAACGAATATGTTTTGTCAAAAGAGTGCCACGGTCTTCACGTCAGCCCATTTATCAACGTATTTTACCTTTTTCTAATGGTTATTTTATTTTTTCACATTGTGAGAACTGAGAATAGAGAAAAAGACATACTATGGACAGGGGGCGTGTCAGTGCGATTACGCAACGTCTTTAAGCTTCACGGAACAATAAACAAAAAAAACGAATTATCCTTGTGTATGTTTTCTCCTTATTGCACAGTAATCCTGCTTTTATCGTCTATAGAGGTTGTTAAATGAGAACCGGTGAATCCAATTTTAACGACCATTGAACGGCATGTCCTGATTTGCGGTGGACGTAAACAAGCGGTGTCTGAAAAACACACGGTCGACGAGTCGAAAGAGAGCAACGCTAACGGTAAAAACACTCTGGATTAACACAAGGCTTTATATATTGTCACGAATATTGTGTACGAATGTTGCATCTTGTTTTTGGTGAGAGTAAACTCGAGTATTTTTGTTCTGCACGTTCCGCATGTCCTCCTTAAGTAACTGTGTTACTCTTCCATCATAAAGCCAGCGACTTCTGTGGGATGTTTTTGCGATAATGTCCTTCCAGAGGATCCGGCGACTGAGGGTTTTGAAGGTACATGTTCACGACTGTCACTCAAGTTGAAAGCTAATTCAATAAAAAAAAAGGAAATTCCAGGATTTGCTTACCGACGAATTAAAGGGGTCATATGATGTTGCTAAAAAGAACATTATTTTGTGTATTTGGTGTAATGAAATGTGTTTATGCGGTTTAAGGTTCAAAAACACATTATTTTCCACATACTGTACATTATTGTTTCTCCTCTATGCCCCGCCTTTCTGAAACGCGTCAATTACAAAGCTCATCGGTCTGAAGAGCGAGGTGTGCTCTGATTGGCCAGCTATCCAGTGCGTTGTGATTGGCCGAATACCTCAAGCGTGTGACGGAAATGTTACTCTCCTTACCATAACATTAAAACCCATTATAAACGAGGCATTTGTTGCATCCAGTGGGGACATAATTACAAACAACAAGCGCTACTCTACACTGCTTAAAACTCGCGTTTGAATCGTCAGTGGCAAATTGTACTTACAGTCTGTGAGTCAGAAAAGCCAGCATTGTAGTTTACTCTACCAGGATCAGGAAACAGTTAGAGTGAGCTGAGGCGGGCTGGACTCCGCTTTGTCCACGGTTAAAAGCTGATCCGGCGATCCACAGCGCAAAGTTGATGTATTTCCTCAGCGACCAGCACGGATCAGCTCCAGGCATGACGAAGCGGATATCGTCCTCTTTTGGAAGGCCAACCTTTTTGCTTTCACAACGAAACACACAGCGCCTTCACGACATGGCGGCGGCGGCAACAACAATACTACAGCGAGAATAAAAGTTATGCCTTCTTTCTTTGCGTGAACATTTGGGCGGCGTTATGCAAATCTTCCCACAGAGCGACGTAGGTATGTGGGGGTGTGTTAGAACGAGCCGTTTTAGGTAGGCGTGGTTGACTCTTAACTTTTATAAAGAATATCTCTTTGGATTTGAGACTTTAGTCTTTGCAACTTTACAGATCTTCTTTATGCCCCAAGAGCTTGTAACACTCCAAAGAGAAAGGAACAATTGAAATTGCATCATATGACCCCTTTAAATGGTTTTCATAAACTATTGTCTAATATGAAATTAACCTAGCATGAAAAATTACAGCATGAGCCCTCCCTCTCACCTTAGTGGTCTGGACTGGAATAATATCTATTGAATTGCAATGTCATCCATTGTAGAAAACGATGTACATTTTGAACAAAAAGTTGATTGATTTGTTTGTTTATTTGTGTATATATTTTGTTTGTCTGTGTACCACAAATTAATTTTTTTTTTTTTAATGTGTTGACACCCATCATTTTGATAGGTGCCAAAAGTAAATTAGTAATAAGTAGTATGTTATTTTTGTAATTTTTATTTTTTTTTATGTAACCAAAAGTCTCAAATTCATGGAAAGTGCAGAAACCTCTTGAACTGGCCCTCTTATTACAAGAATATGTACAGCTTTGTCCAATTCTTTACAAATGTCTTGTTCAGATGTCAGCTAATGTAAAAATGGCAGGGTAGTATTGCTTGAAGCTGTGAATTTAAATTAAATGACTTTGTGTGTCTTTAATTCAGTTCCTTTGGTTGGATAGTTGGATTCGAAAGAACGTTCCTCCATTGACACCACTCTGCACCAAAGCCAATAATGTAAAGAAGCCTATCAGATATACAAGTATAAGTAAGTTATGATTTTTATTGCACTTTGACTTTTTGTTGTGTGGTGTCTTATTTTAGGAATATTGAGGCACCTCTTTAAAATGAAGGTTCCTTTTTGGCATCATCTACGATTCCATGTAGAACCTTCAACATCCCTGGAACTTTTCCATTCCACAAAAGGTTATTCAGATTATTAAAATGTTCTTCATAGTTTAAGTGAAAGGTTCTTTGGGAAACCAAAAATGTTCTTCTGTTGCAGCATGGCAAAATCCCCCTTTTGGTAACTTTATTTAAATGTTTTCATGTTGACTTGGTTTGTGCACAGAATTTAAAAGGCTTATTCTGCATTACTCTTCAGCAAGTTATTTGAGTGATTTTGCTTCTTGCTTTTGTTATGTGCATTAATATAATGTTGTCTTTACCCTAGAGAAAGCGAAACCAAAAACTATAATCGATATTGCCAAATTACTGCAGCAAAAGGCCAAGGAGACCAAAGAGAAGAAACAATCAGTGATCACTGCTTCTGCATTGAAAGCTGCTACTAGTCCAACCAAACCCACTGCTACACCACATAAATTGAAGGACCAGAGTGATGCCAAAGAAATTATTATTTCAAATGCAAAAGTTCAAACTTCTACCAGCACCCTTCCAACAAAAGATGCTGTGGATGGTTATACAGCAAGTCTGCATAATAAGGCATACACTGAAATGTTGAATACAAAATATGCAGCATCCCAAGCTGTTGAGTCGGCTGAATCACCCACAATTAATGCACCACAAGAGGCTTCAGCTCAAGGAGAGATGAATACAAATATCAGTCAAGTTTCTGAGCCGTCTTCAACAAACCCCTCAGAAGCCATTCCATCTTCTGAGGATGTTGCTTCTGCCTCTGAAAAACATGCAGGAGAAACTAGCGATGGAACAGTTTACATGCCTGATGTTATGGGGCCTTCCAAAGTGATGGCATCTCCTGAAGCTTCATCTGCGCATGAGAACGGTCATCTACAGGAGTTTTCTGATGTTTCAGGAGTGGTTGCAGTAACCAATGCATCAACTTTGGTAAACGTAGCACAATCACAGGACTCCTCACAGCCTCAATCCACTCAAGTTCAAGGCTTTCTAGCTCCCACTTGGTCTTCAAATGTCAAAGCAGACAAACCATCATCTGGCCAAGAGATCATCACTCAGGCACTTGTGTCTTTTACAGATGGCACAGCTAACTCCATACCAGATATTTCCAGTGCTGAAGCTGTGGCTGTTGCCTCTGATGAAGTTCCAACCCTTCGAGAAGTTTGTCGTGAAGAAGCCATTCAGGTCTCTAGCACCATCCCAGAAGTCTCTTCACCTCAATCAACTGAGCATCTTCCTGTTGTTGAGACCACATCTGCCTCTCTAAGTAAAGCTGTAGATGCTATGTCAGAAATGTCTGGCGATGCTCAAAGATCTATCAATCTAACGGACCCAATTCTAGTGCAAACTGAGGTTTTAGAGGAAGAGGATCAGACAGAGGCAACTGAAGAGTTAACTGAGGGTACGTTTCACGCTTCCTGCTTTCAATACCTACATAAATCTTACAAAAATAGGAATATTTTGTTGTTGTTTATGCACCCTCCCAATTTTTTGTTGACAGTTATTTGTGGGAAATGACTCCAAGATATTGCAAATGTTATATATTATCATAAAGTTAAAATTCACAAACTCTATGCAATTTTCAGAAATGCATAATTTTATGCAATTCATTGTTGAAATACATTTACTTGCATAATTACTTTGCATTTAAGTTTTTATAGTGCGACAGACTCATCATTTTTGTTTATGGTTGTTTCTTGTCATGTTTGCTGCATATCTAATTTTTTTTAAATGTATTTATTTTTGCAGAAAATACTAAAGTTCATTACATAGTTTAGAACTAGAATTCTTTTGCATTCTGTTTTTACTCAGTTGGGATGTTAGCACAGTTTGCTCTGTGGGTTTCTTTTGAGCTATTCTGATCTTTACCACAAGAGGGTGGACATGCCTGTCTCTTGACATCCTTTATTATGGATCTTTTTTTTCTTTTTGCCTGTTTGCTTTTCATAATGCAAATACTTTTATTGGGATAAGTTATAATTAATTGGAAGGTAGGCCTATAAATATTTTTTATTTAAACATGCAGTGCAGTAGAATTCTAATCTGAATTGTATTATCAAAGCACATAGTGAAAGCATTCTGGCTAATATTGACATTTTAGAATTACTGCATATTTATGTGTAACAACTAACAGGGATTTCTCTCACATCTGTAGCACAACTGGATCCGATACAGAAACTCTTTCTCGACAAGATAAGGGAATACTCCACAAAGAGCCAGTATATACTACATAAATCAAATAACAGTAAAAATTCCATGCATTCCAATATATATCAAACTTCTCACATATTCTTAATAACACTCAGTGTTGTCCATAGAGCCTCTGGTGGCCCTGTAGATGCTGGACCAGAATATGAGAAAGCTTTTAGTGAAGAACTAAACAAACTCCAGAGACTCTATGGGAGTGGAGACTTAACCGAGTTCCCAGAATTTAAGTTCTCTGGTGAGTATATATTTTTGCCTTTGCTCTGTTTGAGTTACCCCATTTTTGTTGCGCATTTAGAATGATTATGAAAGTTCAGATTAACTTTTTTTTTTCATCTTTTTTTTCAGAGCCTGAACTGAATGAACGCAGCTCAAAATGAAAAGCTCACAGAAGCATGCCGTTTATGATACTAATATTTGAATTAGCCTACGTCAGTTTATAAATCGCTAAATTATTTGCGGTTACAGGAAAAAAAACAAGAAAGGGAAAGCAAAACATAAAGTAGCTGGAACGTTAACATTTTCACACTGTGCTTTATTGATTTATTTTATTTTATTTAACGCTCTGGATGACCATTTAAGACGTCCGAGCACCATGCAAAATCTCTTTTGTAATAATATGCATGCAACATTGCCCCCACAGACAGAAGTCTCAGGGGGCGAGCGCTTTTCACAATACCGTAATGTCTCCTCCCACCTCATAAATATTAATGAGCAAAGTTGCCTGCGTGCCGTTACGCTGTGACGACATGGAAGAGCAGCGGGTCCCGATTGCTGCAGCCGCTTGTCATTGTGACGAAGATTGGCACTAAGGTAAGCTGTCACTCAAAAGCTTCTTTTCCGACTCCCTGTCAATCAAGCGATCTGGGCCGCGCGCTAAAAATGCACTCGGCGCTTCCGTGGGAGGCGCGCGGTCTGGATGGTTTTGGGCTGAAATCGGATGTTTGGACGGCGGTTTCGGGGGTGATTTTCTGGCTCGACTCGCAGTCAAGGCCCAGCTCTTTTTTTATGATCCTTTGTAGAAGTGCGAATGGCGGCGGCACTGGTGGGGAGGGATAGCCCGACGTCCCTTAGATTGATTGATAGGCGATTATGGGCAGCCTTTTTATTATATTTAAAGAGACAGAGACGATGTTTTTAATAAGTGAGCGAAAAGTCCAGGCGGTTAGTGTTTTTGCATTATGACGCAGGTTATGCAGTATAATTTAATATTAATTTCGCCCGCGGTTCTCATGGGTGTCTAGCGTTTCGAGTAAAACGCTATATAGATTTGAACATATAAGCAATGGGTTTGAATAGAGACTCCGAACAAACATGGCGCCTACAGTAATAGAGAGGATGAGATACACTCAGGCATCTGTGGCTGAAGAAAGAAAGAAACCACGACGAAGATATAAAACCACATTACAAGAAAACACTGATTCCGGGAACGTTGACAAGCAAATCGATTATGTGTTTAAAAGTAGATCTTTCCAGTTGTTCTAAGCCCATTCAAAGCGAATCACTCATTGAAGCCGTGTTGCAGTGCAGATACATCACGGAGATATTTAGCGAGGTTAATATTTATATCGCGACTTTGTGTTCGCAGAGAGCACTGCAGATGTTTATCCCGTTTAGCGTACAAGTTCATTTAGAAGCAAATGAATGTAATGCATCAAATCAAACAAGACTTTATACATCGTTTTCTCACTTACATGTAAAGTACAAAGTTTTGATTTTGAGAAGAAAATACAATAAAAACTGATTTGCGTTTTTAAACGATACAGGTGTTTATAGAGCAAGGTGATTCATTACATGTATAATGTTGATTTTTATATATATGAAATGTGGAATTAAACAGTTATTTTAAAAACTATTTACTATAATAATTTAATAAAAAACTGAAACAAAATGTTAATTATTCAGTTAGGTATGGCTGAAACTACCGATATTTGCATAAGTGTGCACGGTTATATGCTGGTTATAACGTCCAAATACAAAAAAATAATTTTGACAAGTAGTTTTAAATATTGATTAATTGGCCTGACCTATATTTTAATGTCAATAAAGCACTATATGGCCCTTATACACTGAATATAAAGAATCAGAATCACCTGTATTGCCAAGTACATGTATACATGTTCAAGGAATTTGTCTTGGTGTACTGTAAAAATACAATTAATAATAGTAATAACAACAACAAGTTAAACATTTTAAGGTAAGAGTAAAAAGAGAAAAGTAAAGAGAGTTAGTTATGAAGTTATGAAATGAGCAGAAATATATATATATATATATATATATATATATTTAACACACATACATGCATATAGACACAGTTATATCTCTTTATTTTCATATATATATATATATGAAAATAAAAAGATATATATATATATATAACTGTACATTTGTGCAGAATGTGCAAATGTGGACCAGTGGAAAAGTTTTGTAAGATTAATATTCTGCAATATAACAAAGAGTGAAAAATTGAAGGGGGTCTGAATACTTTCCGTACCCACTGTATGTGTGTGTATGTATTTATATATTCTTTTTCTGGTAAAGATTTGCAGCTGTTTTGCCGTTTTTCACAAATCTTTGTCTTTTTTGTGACTGCGTCAGTTTAGTGGAGCTGAAGATCAGCTTTATAGAATGCCCAAGCGTTGTCCACAGCAACAGTAACTATGATGACATCCCCATCGGTGTCCATGGAGGATTACCAAGAGGCTGAGCAGGTTTGTGTTGCCAAAGAGCTCTTCATACAGCCAATGGAGTACCGTTTTTGTTTTGCATGAGTGTGTTTAATTGCCCTTTTAAATAAAGCATTAATCATCTTTATATTGCAATAAAAATTCAATAAACGCTTTATAAACATGCAAGTATGACAGCTCACAATCTGAGATTGATGTCTTGTGAATTCTGGGAAGTTTGATCTCTGCGGCATCGGATGGAGAGATAGAGAGACTCGAGACTAACCCGAGATTTTCCAGCAGTCGTGAAATATTTTTAACATTTCCCCTTTTTCAATCAACACTATTGTTGCGCTCCGTCACATGCACTCAATCATGTGGGCCTGTCCCAACTATAAAGTACAAAGAAAAAAACTGTATGAATGAGAAAAGAAACCAAAAGAACTGTGGGTTCTTAGCTTACTGTATATATTTTGATGTCCAAATAGATTATTACACAAGACATCTGCATATCTTGCATGTTGAGTCACTCAATGTGCTGGTATCTCTGTATGTACACTGTTTTTCTGCTAAATAGTCTGAAACTAATGTGAAAAACCACTGTTAAATCTGTGAAAGCTTTCTAAATCTGACAGAAAAAGATAGAGTAGTCTAAGGACTGAGAGAGAAGCCCCTTTGTAAAAAAAATAGGTTTTGTTACATGCTTTGAAACCCCATGTCAGCCCTTAGGGTCTGTGACAGAGAGGCTGTGTTTCTCAGAGCGGCCCACACACGGATGTTACCGCCCGCAGACATACCAGCTGACACTGCTAACTTCCACATACCTCACACATCTTCATTCTCTGCCCCTCTGTGCCCCGTGCAGATGCAAGTGGGAGAGCAGACGGCGGGACAAGTGGAGGAGAGGTTGGAGGAAGAGGAGGAGAGAGAGGAAGAGGAGAGCAGCTCAGCACCGTCTGAGCCACAAACTCCTATGGAGGTTGACAAGACGGCCATTTACAGGTAGCTTCTTTTCTTTGTTCTTGTGACGTGTTTCTGAAAAAGCGCAGTTGACTGTGCATTTTTGGTTTGATGTGTAAATGATGTGTTTGTTGACTGTCAGACACCCCTTGTTCCCCCTGCTGGCGCTGCTCTTTGAGAAATGCGAGCAATCCACTCAGAGCTCGGAGTGCGTGACCTCGGCCAGCTTCGATGTGGATATCGAGAACTTTGTGCGAAACCAGGAGAAAGAAGGCAAGGCTTTCTTCAGTGAGGACCCCGATTTGGACAATCTGGTAAGAATCGCCCGTTAAACTGAAGTTTTTGGTGTTTACACTACTGTTAAAAAAATTGTAAATAAAAAAAAAAATCTTTATAAAAGAATGCTGACGAAGGCTGCATTTTTGATCGAATAACACAATGTAAATAACTTTTTTTCTATTTAATATATATTGAAATGTATTCCTGTGATGCAAAGCTGAATTTCCAGCATCATTACTCCAGTCTTCAGTGTCACATGATTCTTCAGAAATCATTCTGATATGCTGATTTGCTGCTCAAGAAACATTTATTATTATCAATGTTCAAAACGGTCGCTGCTTAATACTTTTGTATGCATGATACATTTTTTCAGAATTCTTTGATGAATAGAATTACAGCATCTATTTAAAAACAGAAATACTTTTAACAAAAAAAAAAAAAGTCTGGCCAATTTAATGTATCCTTTCTGAAATTATTCATTTATTTCAGAAATAAAATAATTTTACTGAGCCCAAGCTTTTGTATAGTAGTGTATATTAAACACAAAGAAGATTTGTTTAATATAAAAACTTTGTTCTTTGTTAATAATTTATTTTAATGTAATAACCTAATAAGTAATAATTTATGTAATTTAATTAAACAATTTATTTGAAAAAGGAATCTTTTATAAATGTACCTGCCGTAACATTATAAATGTCTTTACTGTCACCTTTGTTCAATATAATGCATCCTTGCTGAATATAACTCTTAATTTAAAAAATACAAATAAAAAATTCTGACCCCAAACTTTTGATCAGCAGTGTACATTCAGTAATGCATGATATATAACAGTCATGATATATATATCAGTCAATATTAAAGATGTAATCGGCATCAGTTGATACGGATATTTAATTGTGCATGCTAATTTTTAAATTTTGATTAACTTTGCCATCATCTAACACTCACTTTGTTAATCTTTAAAAACACCAATAATTGAAATAATGAAATCTTTAGCAAATCTCAAAATGAACTTCTATTTTTATGCTTTACATTATAGTATTGTGATGTTTAAATTCACTTTATAGCATCTAAAAGAACTAGTTTTAGTTTTTAGTGCTTATTACCCTTATTTTATTGGCCATAACTGGTGAAGCAGCGTTAGGTTGCTGCCTAATCAACTACCCAACATGAGGATCTAAAACATTATAATAATAAATATTTTAATTTTAACACATGCATTTGAGCGTCCATCTCAGTCTACATGATTGGTGAGGAAGTGAAAGGTTTGGTTTTAGGGTGTCATACAGTGGGCTGGATTCAGGGTTCATTTTAATGCCCATGCAGACCTCTAACAGTTCATTAAGTTCAGTTGATCTTCTGATGACTGTACTGTGCTTTCTAATCGAACAGATGGTGAAGGCCATCCAGGTGTTACGGATTCACCTGCTGGAGCTGGAGAAGGTGAATGACCTGTGTAAAGATTTCTGCAGCCGCTACATCGCCTGCCTCAAGACCAAGATGAACAGCGAGACGCTGCTCAGTGGAGAGCCAGGAAGCCCGTACTCCCCAACACAGACACAGGTACGCTCAAAAACACTGTCGAAATCTGTCTCCATCTCCACTCAGGAAATAACCGCTCTGCACATGTTCTCCTCACAGCCGCCGACCTCGTTCTCTGGAGCCTTGAGTCCCCACGGTATTGTAGTGCCAGCGTCGGCTTTACAGCAAGGCAACGTTACCGTCACAGCCGTAAACCCCACACAGGTGCTAACAGGTTTGTTGATTGTTTTACTCCTGCTCTCTGATTCGGTTTTCTTCCTCGTTCTCTCATTTCGTCGTATATTGACTGTGTGAGCGTGTTTGTTTTAACCCAGGTGGTACAGTGTATCAGCCTGTTACAGTTGTTACTCCACAGGGGCAGGTGGTCACACAGACTCTGTCACCTGGAACAATACGCATCCAGAACTCACAGGTGAGACGCCGTCAACAAACACGCTCATTTCATGCAGCATTCAGAGTTTTTCTGGTGTGCTGATTGTCAGCAGCACATCTTCATAATCTATTACAATACGAATGGCATTAGCACACACATATACACACACACACACACGCACACACTCCTGACAGCCACGTCTGTATTTCCCACAGCTTCAGCTGCAGTTGAACCAGGATCTAAACTTTTTCAGTCAGGAGGACAATTCGTCTAAGGCCAAGAGAGGCATCCTTCCCAAACACGCCACCAATGTCATGCGTTCTTGGCTCTTCCAGCACATCGGTGTAAGTTTTTTCTGTCCTTCACTGTTTTATAGTGTTCACAGAAAGAGTGTTTGATCACAAACGATTTTTCACTATTCACACCAAGTCTCAGAGCCCTCTTATTCTTTTAACCCCAGCTTTATCGCCTTACATTTAAAAAAAAAAAAATTAGTTACAAACAGCATTTCATGTTCACTTCAGTGAAAAATACAGTACAGCCAATATCTCAAATGTAGTGGATAAATTGACAGTCACCTGGATTGGGGTAGTAAAAGTAATGTATAATAGGAATATTTTGTGGTAAAGTCATAAAATGATTGTCTGCTGTTATCAGTAATAATAAAAATAATAATTATTATATTTTATTAATAATTATTATAATAGTAAATAATAAAAATGTTCCTAAGTAGGTATAATGGATGTACATTACTATTTAAGTTTCGGGTTGCTAAGATTTTTTTATGTTTTTGAAAGACGGCTCTTATGCGCACTAAGGTGGTATTTATTTAATAGAAAATACAGTAAAAACGGTAAAATTGTTAAATGTTATTACAAATTAAAACACCTGTTTTCTATTTGAATATATTGTAAAATGTAATTTATTCCTGTGATGTAAAGCTGAATTTTCAGCATCATTACTCCAGTCTTCAGTGTCACATGATCCTTCAGAAATCATTCTAATATGCTGATTTACTGTTCAAGAACGTTTCATTATTGTTGAAAACAGTTGTGGAAAAAAATTTTCAGGATTCTTTGAAGAATTAAGTAAAAAAAAAAATAACATCAAAGCATTTATTAAAAAAAAAAAAAAAAAAACATTGTAAATGCTTGTCACTTTTGGTCATTAAGTATTAATATTTTTCAGGAAAAAAAATTACTGACCCCAAACTTTTAACCAGCAGTCCATATTAAACAAAACTTTCCTATGATGCAAAAAAGATCAAGATTTTTTAAAATGTAAAAACTTTTGTTCTTTGTAAATAATTGAATAATCTTTATTTAATATCTTAATTTAATTGAAAACCATTTTAGTTGTAGTGCTGTTAATTGAAACTGCTGAAATATAATGAAAACTTCTTATCAGACCACAGAGCTACTGTGAGGAAAACGTTCTGACAGCTTGAATTGATGTATAGATGAATTAAGAAATTAAAATAGAAATGTATAGAAATGTATAGATGAATTAAGTGAGCTGGTAGGTGTTGATGGCACACATGTTTGCTTTCACTCTCACAAATACCAGCTGCTCATGTGACTAAGCGTCTGGAGAGAGCGCTGATCACTGAAGAGCCCTGCGGGGAGGTTTTCTATCAGGCGTCTGTTTAGACGGGCGGCCCACAGAGACACATTGTTCTAATGAAGCGGAGAAAGACAAAGTTAACATATAGAGAGTTCAAAGATAGAGACACTAACCAATAGAGAGAATTATTTCTGTCCCCCCCCCCAGCACCCTTACCCTACAGAAGATGAGAAGAAACAGATCGCCCTGCAGACCAACCTCACCCTGCTGCAGGTTAACAACTGGTTAGTTATCAGACGTTGATACATACTGTATGCAGGTCAGTGTAGTCGTCTGGATCGCCTCTGACTGACTCGATGTCTTCAGGTTTATTAACGCACGCCGACGGATCCTTCAGCCCATGCTGGACGCCAGCTCCTCGGACACACCCAAGAGCAAAAAGAAGACGCCCCAAACGCGCCCCCTACAACGCTTCTGGCCCAACTCCCTCGCCTCCTCTGTGTCCCAGCAACAGGTCACCATGGAAGACGGTACGGCCCATGAGACATCGTAGATTAAGCAACACAGAATATGAGTTTAGTTTGAGGCGCAGTGGTACATTTTAAGATATAGAAGGGGTGTGCAAAACTCCCAACTGTTGATAGGATGGTTGCCAGGGCATTGCTGTGTGGTTTCTGTGGTGTTCTGAGTGGTTTATAGCACATTGCTGTATGGTTGCTCTGATAATCTAATGCTTATCAAAGCAGACCTGACTGATTACATGGGTCAATTTTCTAGTCAATTATTCAAAAATACATTAAAAAGCAATTCAGACATAGAATGACTTGAATACACCTCTTTTATGATTAGTATATTTTTAATTTAAGTAAAATAAATTTTGATCTTGTTGGAGGGTATAAAATAAAACATGTCATGTCAATTGTTCTGACATCATAATGAAGAAAAAATACTTTTTATTAAACAACCGAAATTCTTGAATATTTCTTTATTTGGTTATTATTAATAATAACCAAAATAACATTAGTAGTAGTAAAATAATATTTTAAACAAAACAATTTGTCTGCCAAAAGTCATGTGGTGTGACCACATGTAGAAATAAGCAGGAAAAAAAATATATATATATATAAAATAATATTTAAAAAATGAAATGGTATTTATGGATGCATAATTTATGATTTTTGTAATTATTTTAATGTAATAAACATTTTATGTCTTAATTTAATATAATTTCCTGTTTAACTATAAATTATTTTAATTCTTATTCTGTTATCTGGTTAATTCATTTTTAATTGAATACATAAATATGTTATGACATTTATGGAAGAATAATTCATGATATGTATAATCTTTGAATTGAATAATCATTTTATTTTTATTTGATTTGAATTCTTAATTCAACTGAAAAATAATTGAATTTGTAATGCTGCTTTAGTTAAAAACATTTTAATTTAATAAAATATACATATATAAATATTTAATGATACAGTGTGTATGGATTAATAATTCATGAATTTAGTAATTATCTTCAGGTAATAATCTTTTTTTTTATTAGTTTGAAAAAAAAAAAAAAAATTATTGTAATGCTGCTAACAAGTTAATTTAATTGACAACATCCAGATCTGTAGAGACTGAATCTAGTAAAATACAAGAAAAACGTCACATCAATCTAAGAAAAAATGTTCTGACAGGTTGAATTAATGTTGTTTTTGTTTGTTAAAACTGATTAATAATTGATGATTAATAACTAGTGCTCTCAAACGATTAATCGCAATTAATCGCATCCAAAATAAATAATCAAAATAAAATAAAAGTTCCAAAATAGTTTGCATCCAAAATAAAAGTTTTTGTTTACATAATATATGTGTGTGTATTGTGTACATTTATTATGTATATATAAATACACACACATACAGTATATCTTTTGAAAATATATACATGTATATATTTATATTAATTTAACTTATAGTTTATATGAATGTATTTATTATATTAACATAACATATATTTCTTAAATATATACATGCATGTGTGTGTATTTATATATACATAAAAAATATATTACGTACATTTTGGATGCGATTAATTGCGATTAATCGTTTGACAGCACTATTAATAACTCATGAGACTTTAATCGTTTTTGCAAAAATAATGATTAAGTGCTATAATTTAATTGCCAATGTTTAGCAGTTTTATGAAGATTCGAAGCATTTTGTTTGTCATACTCAGGTACTACGGTAACAGTCGGTGTGGGTGAGGACGGCCTACAGACGCTCTCATCAGATGGAGCAACGCTGGCCATGCAGCAGGTCCTGATGGGAGGTCACAGCGAGGAGGATGATGATGATGACGAAGAGGACGAAGAGGGCGAGGACAATGATCCTTCCCACTCCGATATGACCAGGCTGGGCCTGGAGACCAGCGACTCGCTGTAGTAGGATTGAACGACTCACACACACACACACACACACACACACAGTTAGTATAGAGAGAGACATTTAAGGCGCATCAGAGCACTAAGAAGAAAGAGACATTCACACAAACACCTCGGCTGACGTGTTGAAGATCACAGAACATCCCCGAGCTGTCAAACAGCTCATTTGAAGTACAGAGAACGGGCTTAAAGCCACACACACACCGAAACAACCCACACACACAGGTCAAAATGAAGACACAAGCACAAGTCTCTCTCACGGCGGAACGCACGCATAATTTCCGACGCAGTTAGCCGAGTGCACTTTTTGTATGATACTGTAAACTTAAAGGAAGTGTTCAAAGCACATTTTGAAAGAGCTAAAAGGAAGGAAAGTAAAAAAAAATGTTGATGCTGGATGATTCAGTTGTACTTATCCTCATGGTCTGGGATGCTATGATGATGAGATTTCGTCTCTTGCATGCCTGTGTTTGCTTTAATCAGGCACCAGAAAGAAGAAGGAACTATTTTTATAGTACACTTGTCACAAGTGATCGGTGCCAATTTGTTTGTTTTCTCCAGTTGTTTGTTTTGCTCTGGTTTGCTATGTTTTGTAAGGAGTATTTATGTATGAAAAAGACAAAAAAACACTTTTAACGTGCTCACCCTGTTTTGGAGGGGATTGTGGTAACTACTTAGTACAAAGTACAAAGAATGACTATCCGCTGAAGGCATAGACTCTGAAGCCTTATGTTTTTACATTTCTAATGCCACAATGTGAGACACTCTCATATTTATGGAAGCTTATTTCTTCTACAAGATAAAACAACATTTAAAAGGTAATTGCGACTTTTTATCTTACAATTTTTACAGTTCTGATTCGGACTATTTTTCTCAGAATTGTGAGTTTATATGAGTTTATATCTTGAAATTCAGAGAGTTTATATCTGACAATTCAGATTTTTTTCTCGTAATTCTAAATTTATATCTTGCAATTCAGATTTTTTTTCTTGCAATTCTGAGTTAATATCTTGCAATTCAGATTTTTTCCCTCAGAATTGGCCATTTATATCTTGCATTTTCAAGTTTATATCTTGCAATTCTGAGTTTATATCTCACAATTCAGATTTTTTTTCTTGCAATTCAGAGTTTATATCTGACAATTCTGATTTTTCTTGTAATTCTACATTTATATCTCACAATTCTGTTTTTTCTTGTAATTCTAAATGTATATCTCGCAATTCTGATTTTTTTCTTGTAATTCTACATTTATATCTTGCAATTCAGATTTTTTTTCTTGTAATTCTGAGATATCTTGCAATTCAGATTTTTTTCTTGTAATTCTAAATGTATATCTTGCAATTCAGATTTTTTCTTGTAATTCTAAATGTATATCTTGCAATTCAGATTTTTTCTTGTAATTCTAAATGTATATCTTGCAATTCAGATTTTTTTCTTGTAATTCTACATTTATATCTCGCGATTCAGATTTTTTTCTCGCAGTTCTGATATATCTTGCAATTCAGATTTTTGCTTGTAATTCTACATTTATATCTCGCAATTCAGAATTTTTTTTCTCACAATTCTGAGTTTATATCTCGCAACTGTGATTTTTTTTCTCACAATTCTGAGATATCTTGCAACTCAGATTTTTTCCCCTCAGAAATGGCCATTTATATCCTGCATTTGCAAGTTTATATCTTGCAATGCTAAGTTTATATCTCGCAATTCTGATTTTTTGTTTTCGCGCAATTCTGAGTTTATACCTAGCAATTCTGAGTTATTGTCTCTCAGATCTGAGTTTATATCTCGATTCTGATTTTTTTCTCAAAATTGTGAGCTTATGTCACGATTATATCTCACGTTTTTTCTCACAATTCTGAGTTTATATATCGCAGTTCTAAGTTTATATCTCTCAATTGTGTTTTTTTTGTTTGTTTGTTTTACAATTCTGAGTTTATATCTCGCAATTCTTCAGTTAGTTTATACCTAGCAAATAGTTTATATCTCACAATTCAGACTTTTAATTCAGACTTTTTTCTCACAATTCTGAGGAAAAAGAGCAGAATTGTGAGGAAAAAAGTCTGAATTGTGAGATATAAACTAATTATTAATTATAGTTAAAGTTAGAATTGTAAGACTAAAGAGTCACAATTTCCTTTTATAATTCCATGGTGGAATTAAATAAAAAATAGCCTAAGCTTCCATACATATCTGATATCACTTCCTGTGCAATCGGCATGGATACCGCGTCCAATAATGATACATTTGCAAGGTTGTGATCATGTTTGTGAAATTCAATGCCTGTAATTGTTGTATGAGAAGAAAATGTGCTTTTTAATGATTATATTACAAAAACTCAAAGTAAAACAGAGAAGGACGTCAACAAGTCTTTGTATTTATGTATAGCTATTTTTTGGCAGAGGGACTCATCATTGATGTTAAACCCCTTCAGCTCAAACATTTACGACTTATTATGGACAGTTCATAGAGTTTTTGCAGGAAAACGTGTTTTTTTAAAAAGTGGACAAAACAAATGTTTTCAATATTTAACAGTTGATTGCATGTGTTTTCATTTATTATTGTAAAGAAACATACAATATTATTTTTTGAAGCATAGCGTGTGCTCACAATAGAAATACAAATCTATCAGTGTAAACCCACAGTCGAGCTGTTAGTAAACTCTTGATGGTATATTTCAATAACAAATAAGCTGATATAACACATTTTGATTAAATATTTTGTCCCATTTTACGAGCTGAAATTCATCCATTTACAGCTGTCACTTGATTGCGCTCATATATCCTGTTTTCTGCTTATTTAATGTGTTCAGTATGTGCTGTAGGCTGTCTGTACTGAGCGGCTTTTCATTTGCAGCAGTAGTCTTGTGATGCCATCGGTCAGATGACGAAGCCGAAAGGAGAAACTCTGATTGTTTAGCATGTGGAGGTTTCAACGCTGCACTTTGAGCGTTTTTCTCTTAGCTTCTATAATCGCTTCTCTCTTACAAACACACAGATTTGCCTTTCAGACTCTTGGTTTTGTAATAAAGAACACTGTACCTGAAGGACACTTTGTTGTGTGTGACTGTATTTGTGCATCCTGTAGTAAGACATCAGAGGTCATGGGCCGAGAGAGTATTTTTAGTGTAACCTTCACTCAGTCTGGTGTGTAAACAAATGAATCATTTGAGAGGGGGGAAGGGGGTGGGGAATTGCAATGTAGTTCATGGAAAGTGGAAAAAGTTGGCTTTTATTTAGTATTATTTTTGGTCTGTTTTCTCTGGATTGTTTGGTTTAGCATTTATTCATTTCGATACCAAACACAAAGGAAGTGAAGGCAAGGATACAGAGATTCGGAGGAGCAAAACAGAGACTTAAGACGATGCTTTTAATATGCCACATATATTATTAACATGAATTTAATGAAGATAATAAATGCATCACATGTTAAGCGTGTATAGATTTGGCCTTACATACAAAAATATATGCACTAAAATGTTTTGACATGCGTTGATGAATGATAAATAATTGAGCACAAATAAACAAGTGAATAATGTACAATAAATAGATACCGTTTACAAATAAACTGTAAATTACTACCTACATTTTTTTATTTTAACTGATTTTCATTCTGGTCAATAGAATCAACAGGAATTCTATTTAAATATAAGGGTCATTCTATAATTTAGTGTACATTTCATTTCCATTGATGATAATTCTACTTTTTTTCTAACAATTTTCATAAGAAATATCATATTTTATCCATTATGAGAATGCATAGTATAATCTCAATCATATATTTTGTATACCCTGTTTTTCAATTTGCTCTCGCCATATTACATAAAGCTTAATTTTGCCTTTATGTCCCTTAAATTACAATTTTTGCAATGTTCACTTTTTGAATTGAGTGGGTCTTGAGTTCAAAATAACGAATAAAAAAATGTTAAGACTATCTATATTCCATATCTATAAAAAACATTTCTATAATTCAAATACCTAAGAAAAATAAACATTTTGAACACATTATGGTAAATGTCCTCTTAATTTTTTCTATATTTGATCTTCAGTGACCTGTAACCCTTAGTTAATTTACTGAGAAAGAGTATTGTTTTTCCTGACATGAATTGTATCCGAAATTATAGAGTGAAAGTTATAGAATGAATCATATATTATATATATATTCTCCTTCATAAAGCCCTGTTCACACCAAGAACGATAACTGTAAAGATAACGATCCACACCAGCAAACGATATCGTCTGTTTATTCCAAGCGCTTTAAATTCTCGAGCTCGTGATAGCAGGATGGATTCTGATTGGCTGTCAATGTTTTTATCGTTCATCAGCTGGAAAAAATCGTTCTGGAAGTGATTCCAACGATATCGTTTCTCTGTGCCTTTATCATTATAGTTGTGGTGTGTGAACGCTGCTATTCTTTAATATTGAGAACGATATTTAGAACTATATCTTTATCGTTATCTTTATAGTTATCGTGCTTGGTGTGAACGGGCCTTAAGTCATGTTGGATGTTATGTATTGAAATAGAAGCTCATCCACTAAGAGATGCTCAGCGCCGCTGATCCTCTTCTTTCTGATCAAAAACAAAACAAAAAATATATATTATTTGTATTTTCAGAAGGAAACGCCACAAACATTATTAGCAGCTGAGGCACACAGGCAGGTATTCAAAAACCATTATCAGTTGATTTATCAGTTGAATGCTGAATGTTATATTAATGTGAGTAAATATAGGATTGTGAAATTTTAATATTGAATGTCTTTGATGAAATTAAAACCAAATGGAAAGCTTGTGCTAGTATCAAATTCTGTGTTGGGTCTGCAGTTCAATTTAATGCAGAATAGTCGAGAAGACGCAGTGTTTTACAACAAAATCGCCGCTAGATGACTCCAGTGTCCCAGAAACCTTTTCAAAGGTCAAAGAGACTCTGAGGAGCAGGAACTGTGTCAGTTATTCATCAGCACAAACACAGTTAATGAAATATAAATCAGAGTGTTAACTAGCCAATGAGAATAAAGTTCACTTGTCATCCTGTACCTGAATATCACCCCGCCAAAGCTCCTTTACTTACTCAGAAGCCTAGTTAACTATGACTAGTTGGTCTGGTCATTATTAAAATATGGCTTGGATTTGGCAGAAAAAAACATTTTGTGCTTGAAAAATCTCTTGACTCTTCAATCTGGAATAACACCTGTAATTTATAGTTATTTATTTACTTTTTAAGTACTTTTTTATTTAATTATTTAAATTAAGTAAATTACATTTTTTATATAATTATTTTTGTTTGCACCGTTTTAAACATTTGTGTAGGACCTAACAAGCATGAAAAAAGGAAATTAATAATAATATTAATAATCTTAATAATTGGATTTTGTTAATACTTGCATTTTTTAAATATGAAAAAGTTGGGAGTACATCCGAAGTCAAAGTTCAAAGGAAGTTCAAATGTTCATATGGTGAGTGTCCCTCCACATTGAAAAATTTACTACTTTTAATTTACCTTTAAGTAATTCAGCTGATTTAGACTGATTTTGTGTTACATTGTTTTATGTTTGTGTGACAGATTTTTATTGAAATAAATTAATGGTAGGCCTATAATGTATTGAATATATTATCTAATCGATGTTTGTTTTGAGATGCTATTGACACCATTGTGGAAAATTCATCTTTAATGAGAATTTGTCACTGGTGTTAAAACCCTTGCTTTACAAAACAAAACAAAATTATATAAGAGTAAACTAAATTAGATTTAAGAAAGAACAAAAGTTAAAGTCATTCTGCCATTTATCATTATTGATAATGTCA